TTTATTTTTCTCATTGGCGCCTTTTTTTCAACCAATGAGAAAAATAAAATTTAGGCAAAAACCACGTTGATTATGTCGACGCCAAAAAAGAAGTGAAGATGTAATTATAAGGAACCCGCTGTCTGATTCACCGACAAATTTTGCACCACACACACAAAAAAAGACACTGTTTTACAGATCGTCCAGCATCCCGTTAATTCGAGTATAGAGCGCAAAACTTTCGTCCAAAAAATCATTATAGCGATTAATTGCCTCCAGCATCATCCTTGTAATTGTTGTTCTTGTCGGATGATCACCATGGGTTGGATGAGGATCATCGGTACTTATATTAACCGAATCCTGATTAACATCATTTGTATTTTGCTAATGTTGTCTCCGAGCTCCTCTCCGCCGACGAATCCGACATCCTGTATTTCGGATAGCTAAATATTTAAAAATGAGTGCTATTAATAAGCGGACGATGGATAATAGTTCAGCTCCAACAAGACATAGAAACAAGTAGACATTAGAATACCTGCTTTGTTGTTGGTTAGCAATTGGTGTTGGAGGAGCGACAGATGATCTGATCGGTTGTGAACTTTGTTGATTCATTACTGGTTGCACAGGACAATTTCGCTGAAATGATGTAGTGATTGCTGAAGGAAGCTCCACAACTTCAGCGGAGTTTTGAAGACAAAGCGACCATTGTCTCTGGACAACTCTTGTTGGACAAATATGGCTTGTATGTTCTTGATTAAAATCTGGGTCCGTAAACGTGCCGTCTAGAGAATCATGTTCGAAAATATCTATTGCTCTATTTATAGGCTGTAGAGGAGTTGGAAATGATGATGAGACAGGTAATGCGACTGCTGTAGCCAAATCGACAACAGTTGCGATGACTGATGGAGACGTTAATGACTGTTGTTGGGTAGGAAAAGGTGGAAGGTCTAAAACTACCGGTTGTTCATAAAGAATATCATCATCCGCCTCCATATCATCAGCTTATCATTCAGCTTATGAGTTTATGACTCAAGCGAGTTCAGAATAAAAATATGCTTTATTAAGCCAATATTCTTCGAATTACCAAAAATTAATTTCAACTAGATTTTAGGTGAAAAAGTGCACTCAGAAGCCAAAATGAGACTTGCGCATCGTATTAAACACGCATATAAAGCATACAGGCATGTACATAAATAGTTTTTTTCGAAATTTTTGTGTGATTATCATTTGTATGCTCCACTACAGTAAATACATGACCAAATTAGAATTTCTCACTAAAACTACGATTAAAACATGTTTATAGTTTTTCACAAAATCATCATAAAAATATATGCAATTTACTTTCCGACCGTCTGCACTCGAATAACTGCTTCATCATTGTCGCGTAGCGGACGATATACCGTCCGTTACCTAATCATACCGCGGTATGATTAGGGGTGCCACTTTACTTTTACTAATTATTACATTATCCGGTAAAAGTAATAAACGTTTGTTACTTATTACTGGTAAAAGGTAATAAATCTTGTTGTTTTATTACTTATTACTTCTTTATGTAATAATTTTTCATCATTTTACTCGTTACTTTTGATCTTATTAGTAATAAGTAAAGTAATAAAAGATTATTACTTGAAAAAGTAATAATAAAAATTTTAAAACCAATGCGTTAGGAGGCTCATAAGAATAAAAAATACTGTCAAGTGACGAAGTTCATAACACAAAGAAATAATGAATGTACAACAAGATAATCTTCCACGTTTTCGTCTTACCAAATTGAAAACAATTTTAGACTTAATTAATATTCTTCAAACATTAATTACAAATGCTACTCAACAACTTGCTAGTCTTATTTTCGTTTATACTCTATTTTTGTTATCAATCACTTCAGTCATTACAGAAGCTTTATAAGATACCTAATTACCGTAAAGCGTTTGGAGATGATAAATTCAGAGTATCGGTGGATGTGTACTTGTCGATGATTTGTCGACCAAATCAATTTATTTCTTTAACAGGATTAACTCCTGAGTCTTTTGAATTACTATTTTTAAAATTTGAAGCCAAGGCTAATCAAATAATGATAACTGCAAAGCAGCGACGACATAAGCGTCTAATCAATCGTAATCTGATGCTTTTGTTACTCGTTTGGTTCCGTCTAGGTATGTTACAAACCCAAACCCAAACCCAAGCGACTTGGGTGTATTGGGTTTGGGTTTGGGTGCCCAAGTCTGAGACTTGGGTTTGGGTATTGGGTACCCAAGTCTTGGACTTGGGTTTGGGTATTGGGTACCCAAGTCTTGGACTTGGGTTTGGGTATTGGGTACCCAAGTCTTGGACTTGGGTTTGGGTACCCAAGTCTAAGACTTGGGTTTGGGTCAGTTGCCAAAGTACATTAATATTCTTCTTCAATAAAACTTAGCAGTAGTA